AGAGTCAAAAGGTTTATATTATGTTGAGTATGTTCATTTTTGTTCACAACATAAGTGGCAAACAAAATCACAAGCAATACGTAACTGAACGAAGTACAACAGTTAGAATATACAAGCCAAGAATATATCTCCAAATGATTAACTCTTAAAAAGCGTTTTTCTTCTTTTTCCTTTTTAATATGTTTGGAGTAAGGAAAATCAAAATTTTTTGGAGGCTTCCAATGTTGTGTTAGCAGTTTATATTTTGTATTTTCATCAACAGTGATATTATTTTTTAAATATGAACCAATATCATACATATCACCAAAAATATTTGTCAACTGCTGAAATTGAAACATACATCATATTACTTTAAAAATACAAATATTTCATAGTATACCTATTTAATAATTTATAATACTCAAATATTTGTTCATAATTTATAAGTTATAAGCTGCAATTAAACAAAAATAAATAAATAACTTCACATTTTTGTTTATAATTTTATAATAACTTTGAAATTAAGTACTTGCTCTACTTGTATTTTCACACAAACTGAGTAGGTACCTGGTACATTAATAAATAATATATATTATATAATATTTATTATTTAATAATATATACAAGTATCTTTCAAAATGTTATTTTACATGATTTGTATCTATGAAGTACCTACCTACCTAACTAATTTATCATAAATTAAAAACATACCTTGTCTAAATTTGAGTCAGCCAAATTAGAATTTTCAGTTACACAACTATCATGTTCTTTTCGGTCATCTGATTTACTAACTTTTGAATTATCATAATTTATGGACTATAAGAAAATAAAAATTCAATAATGTTATTTTAATTTATATGTAGTGAGTAGGTATTAAGTAATATGTATAGGTATTTGAATTAATCCAATATCTTTGTAAACTGTTTATATTAAGTTGTTTTAATTATTTTTTACAAATTAATAGCAAATGATAGGTACCTATTTAGTAAACTCATTTATAATTATAATAATTTGTGTAGATTCTAAACAAAATATTATAAATTAAGATAATAGCAAGTACCTACTATATTAAATATCAATGTAAAAAATTAATATTAATATTAATAATTCTGTAGTAGATTAATAATACTTACTTTATTTTCAGTACGTAATTTTTTACTGAAGTAATTGTGAAGAGAATTTTTTCTTTTATCCATTTGAAAATTTTAATCATAACATAATATAATAAATAAAAACAACAAAATAAAACACTCAGTGGTGATTTCAGTCGTGTGCTCGTTTTACACTAAACGAAAAATTGTGAATCATCTATTTGATTACATGATAGGCGATAGCAAATAGCAGACAAAGACATCGTCAACAGTTTAATGTACCTATTACCCTGCAACGACAATTGCTGGAGTTTCAACAAAAATCAGCTAAAAATAGACTCATTTTCGATTTAATCTAATCAAACCATGCAATTTCTTGATAACGTCAAAAACATGTTATTATATCTATTATCTATGGTCATTGATCGGTAACCAGCGACGGGCGCTTATTACGCTTGTATACCCAACAATTTTATATGGATTTGAATTTTTTTTTTTGTGAACGGGGGGGGGTATTGCCCCGATTTCCCCCCCCCCCCCTGGATCCGCCACTGTTCTTAAGTATTTAACGTAATCATGTTCAAGTGTAGTATATGTGATAAACCCTTTACATTAATTAAAAATGTACGCAGACATGTCAAGTCACATGATGTACCTGATAAGATTTCTTGCAGTATATGCTCAGAAATATTTACACGAAGAGATAACCTCATCAGACATAGCAAGGATAAACATCGTAAGTATTTTTAAATACAATAAACAAATTTATCAGATACAATACGTATATATATAAAACCAAGACTATGTTTATTTATAATTTCTAATTATTACATAAATACAATTAATTTATTACATTAAAACCTATGTTATAGTAATATATAATTAAGGTGTTAAACAGAGTTTAATTTGTTCGACGGATTATTTTTCAGGTACAAATATCGTATTTCAACAACAACCAACCCTAACCAAGCGAGAAATTCAAGATTTTTTTAAACCAGCTGAAAACATTTACGATTATAATGGTAAATATATGGACGGTGTTTGTGAGAAAGGGCACAAGTCAAAATTCACTAGTTTTCAGGAGACAGGAAAAACGTTTTATTAATGTTTTGCTTATTGTTAATTAATTTTTTTTAATTTATATAATTTATATTTTATTTGATTTTTTAGAACAAGGGATAATAATTTTAATTTATCGTTTCATTATTTTAAATGACTTGTGACCATTATCACATTGAATTTAATAATTTTATGACTTGTGCCTTTTCTCATATACTGACTTGTATCTGATCGCACATAAATAAAATCATAATTATTGTGATAAAGGACACATGTCATAAATAAAATAATAATATTATACTGTAATGTTTTTTTAGCAATATGTATTATGTACTACCATTTTTATAACTCAACACCATTTATAAAAATAATTTATTTTTAGGTAACACAAATAACATAAATAAAATAACACATAATAATTATAAATTATTAAAATATATTACAAAACTAATATAATAGTAAAATAAAAATAAGTATAACTCCATAAACTGTTTTTAATTATTAATTTATACAATTTATCATTAACTATTAAAATACTTTAGTTTAACCTTAAGTCTTAAATAAAAAATAAAAATTACAAACATAACTGTTGATAAGTAGTTTTTTAAAACATTTTTTAAAAAAAATAAATAGAAATTAAAAATAATGTAGGAATATAATATTATATAAGTAAACTGATAACTAAATTAAAATTTAAAAATTTCAGGATATGAGTAAAATTACACTTATATAATTAAAAATAAATTAATGATTAAAAATAAAATACATAAATTAATTAATCATTTTCTTCATCTGACACTATAGGGTCATTAATATTTTGTTTAGTTTTTAAATTCTGATAAAAACTATGAAAAGTTTCAGGAATATATTTTAAAAGAGAAAGTAGATCCTTTTTCTTTTCTTCAGTGATATATACGATATCGTTATATGCTTTTGGAATTGATATATTATTATTTTAAAGTGAATTTCTACGAGACATACTTATACTATTAAATAAAGAATTTTCATTTAGCATAGTTTTGTAGAATACTTTATTTTTGTCTTGTTTTATAAACCTTAACCATTTTACATCGCAGAATTTAAATATTTCGCCTTTATCGTTTTTTTTTTTTAATTGGTATTTAGTTTTTAGTAAACTGTTAAAGTCTAAAAAATATGATTGATCCATTTCTATAACATTAAACTTATCTTTACCTGCAAATCTAATTAACTGGACCCAGTCATGTGGATGAAAAATAGGGGTAGAATATCGTTTTTTGGATTTTTCTATCCGAGCGTGATCGGAATCACACTCCATCCGGGAGTGCCCAGACACCATAAATTTATGGTCAATAATTTCAATATTTGTATTTTCTTGTTCTAGAAAGATTAGACACATTGCTATAAATAAAGAATTGTTGTTTTGTCCAGGATAACAATCGCTATACATTATCACATGTTTGATTTCTGGTGGTAAGGTTGATAAAAAATGAAAAACGCATGACCCTATATCATTTCCTCCTCTTTTCGCTATTGACTCATTCCACACATAACATGATGCTTTTGATGTTTTAATATTATGAACTGTTAAATTAAAAGTCCATAATTAACGTTTATAGAATGCAACAGACAATTCTAGACCTGGGGTTGGAAGGCATTGTTGCAAATCAAATGATATTACACATACCTCATTTGAATTAATACCGGCATCTCTTTTTTTGGTTTCATACGCATTTTCAGCTTCATTTTGATGTATATTTCTTTCATTTATTAGTTCTATTTTACGTTCTTCTGTACAACTAATATTGGTAGCTTGAATTGTTAAACTATTACATTTAGAACATGCATCTTTTTTAGGGTTTTTTATTTTAAGACCACATTCTTTAAAATATTTTTGGTATAATGTTCGACTAACTGGCTCATTTACTGATTGTTTATATTGATCATATGCTAATTGTATAGTGTAATGAGGAGGTAGATATTTTTTGGCAGTTTCTTTTCTGCAATAATGGCTTTCATATGATGGTAATTTATTTATATGATCAACTACAGACTGTATAAATTGTGGAGTTTTTTTATTTTGAGGTTTGGAATGCCCTCTTTTATCGGGAGTAATCTTATAAGCAGGGGAAATACTTTTCTGGGTACAAATTAAACGTATAAATTTAGGTGTTATGCCAAATATTTTCAAAAAACATGCTTTGCAAACCTTTATTAAATCCTTATCTTTTGGAATATATTAAGAAAAATTGCAGACCCTATTCTTTTGTTTTTCGGGTGTAGTATTTCTTTTCCTACTTGTAATTTTACTGGTAACACACACCAAGCTAGAAATATATGAAACTTGTCTGTCACGATATTTTAAAGACCAGTAAATATTAAACAATGTTGTTTGTAAGTTTTCGTTAATTTTATTCTTACATTGTGACCTGCAGTCATTTAAAATTATTGATGTACGAGCTTTCACAGTTTTTCCAAGGTTAGTAATATATTCTTTTCCACAATCTCTTTTATATTTTCGATTTTCTCTATATTTTCTAGTGTCACCTACCTTGCTATTTCTAACTTTCCTAATATTGTTATTACTACCATCAGTATTTAAGTTCATAACATCATCTATTATAATATTATAATACACACAATACAATTAATCACTATTTTATAAACTATATATTTTAACTTAAAATATTTACCCGAAGTGTTAAATGAAACATGTTCAGGTGTACCTAATATAACGTTAATATCTTCGTAATTATTTGTATTTGAATTAATTTCACGTATAAAACTATTTATATCACTGTTAGTATCATCTAGTTGTTGAATATTATTCAAAACATTTTCTTGAGAAATAGAATTTTTAGTCTAAACAAATAACATAAAATTAAAAAGTATAAAATTAAATTAAAATATAAGTAACAATAAATAATTCAAAATCAAAAAATTATTTATTTAGTTTAATTTCAAATTAAAACTGTATTTACCTGCTCTTCATGAATTGTTGGAGGTATATTTATAATATTATCCACACAGGAAACCTCTTCAGATATCTCGAGATTATCACAGTTATACTCAATATTATAATCTACTCCATTTAATGTTATACAATCACCAGAGTTATCGTTTTCATTAAAATTAGTTTGATTAACCCAGTTCTAAATTAAAATTAAAACATATACAAATTGTAATAAAAAAATAAATATTTTTAGGAATATTAATAATATTTTTAATAGTAATAATTAGGGCTGGAATTTATGTGTAATTAAAATGGAAAAAAATATAGTATACAATAAAACATTTGTAATCAGAAAAATTTTAAATTATGTTAACGTGTAGAATCAAAATAAAATTCTAAATAATTGTTTAATAGTATACAATTAATTGTTTTTAATTTCTAATCAATTTAATTTAAAAAATATAAAAATAAAGATGTATTCACAACCACGTGAACGTAAGTACTGACACTTTTGAAAATTCGAAAATATATTTTGTCTAATAATTAATGAACATAAAGTTTAATCTAAGATCATTAATGTATAGTTATCGAATAGAAACAAATAAGATAAACTATAAACAAGTTATTAATATTTAACTAATACTTTCATGTACTTATTTCATACATGCATTATACACTTACACAGTGGCGCCGAATACACTCCAAAGGTGTGACAGCAGTCACACCTTTTTTATGAGGGTGGTGGGTGGGTTGTTACGTAGATGGTACCTTTGGTGTATAATTGTGGATAAGTATACCGTACCTATTCACGTAGGGTAGGTGTTAGAATTGGAAGTTCTGTTGAGTTGCTTATTTGCATTTTGCATAGCTATGTAACACGCCAGTGCGCCACTTAAACCGATTATTCGTTGATAATTAAACAGCCATAAATCGGTATGTAGTTTATTCACACTGGAAAAGCTGTGTGGTTAAAAACCGCGGTTGTCCACGTTTGATTACGGATGTTAAATTTTAGGTGAACATTCGCCTTCAACAGCTGTCCGCTAAAATTAGGGATTTCCACCCCCCTAACATTTTTTTTAATGATATTTAATTATTATGTACCTATTACCTATTGGCTATTGTAGCTACATTTTACTATGATTAGATATATTATGTATAATTAAAATTGAGTAACAAAATAATTTTCATTAAATACCGGACATAATACTATTATAAATGTAATATTATTATATAGGAACTCGTATTAAAATATACTAAGAAATAATAAGATTACGAACGTCGAACATTATTCGTATTCAAAATTGATTATAAATAATATTCTGCAGTAATCTTAATTTATACATTTTATAATTTTGACAATTGTAAAGATTATATTAATACGGTCATAGATTATTGTTATTTGTGGAAATATAAATAATCGAAAACAGCGATAACGACTGGTTCTAATCGTTCAACTTCCAACAAAATTATAATTTAGGCACGGGTCACACTATCGCGGTTTCGCTGTGTTATAGAATTTTCCATTATATTTTTAGAAACAGATGGAACACGTATTTTGTGCATGTATCCCCATCGGCTGAATTACCAGTCATCAAAATATACAAATTACAAAATAATAAGATGTTTACTGTTCACTCTTTACTATCTCAAATATATTTATATTATATTATATTATAGGTATTAAATATAAATATATTATATTTATATTTAATAATTATCACACAATAAGTAAAAAAGTATTTTTCGGTAAATAAAATATGCGGCTCATCGGTTAATCAGTGTAGTTTGGTGTATTTTTAGAAAAAATTATTTTACTATAATTTATAAACGTAATATTTATAAGTTATGTCATTTGACGTCTGACTAGCGCATCAATTGCAATTTCCTCGGAAATTGTAAGTTCGAAAAGTACAAATTACAACCCTTGTTTGAAATCTGTCTCAATAATATTTATAAAGGTAAGTTTTAATTAAATTTAAATTTAAATATTGAATAATGAAGTTAACTATTATTATAACTAAAATATTCAGTACCTATGAAATAAATTATTAAATAAAAAAAAACTGAATAATTATTCGAATTAGATTATTAATATATATAATTATTTTTAC